ACACAGACATACTTAAAACAGGTAATATTCCAGTAGAACTATCTTACAGTGCCTTAGAGTGAGCTATTTTCTGTGTTGGTAATGCCTTTTGAATGGACAAGAAAGTATATTATTGACAGAAGCTATCTAGTGAGAAGAATGGAACAAAAACTTTCCATTTTTAAATTTTATTTTCTTATTTGTTTAGCTCATTCTTCCCCTAAAATTCCAAAAGTTATTTTAGAGTAGTTTGTTTACATTTGTTTATTTCTAAAACTCTTTAAACATGATTTTAATTTTTCATTGATTGACACAATCATGAGTTTGAGTTTCTTGCCTGACCCCAGAAGGGAGCTTTTTACTTCTGTAAATAAAGAACACTAATCAGTGGCCACAACACTGAAGAAAATGACACTTTCTTTTCCAACAAAAAATAACTGTTACCAGTCCCTTCAGTGGATGTGGGGTGACACTTCATGAAGCCATCGCTAATCCAGGAATAAGTGTTGATGGGTCCAGTATTGCGGAGATCTCCTACTGAGAACCAGGAGAGTTCCTGTGAAGTCATGAGTTACAGCAGTTCTGTCTTGTCCAGCAGACATCATTGTGGCACATCTTCCTAAGCACTGACTCCTACTCCTTCCATTCCCTCTTCTTTGACATTCTGTAAGTCTTGGAGTGGTGATTTATCTCTCCATTTACAGTCAGACATGCCATCACTTACTCTCTACCTTAACTTCCAAGGCAGTTATTAATATACTTACACACTTACCATCTTTGATCATTTTGTTAGCTTGTACAGAAGGTTGCTAAATTTATCCATTTCTCTTCAATCACTATAGAGACTTTGTGTATTTAACAATAAAAATCATTTTACACCATTGATTTACTAAGCATTTTTCTTCTTCAATAAATGAAGTGATATAGCTGTTTTTGATTCTGTGCCAAGTGCCAAGTTCAGTAGTGTAGATATTAGACCATGTGATTCTGAGTAATTTAGTGACAAGGTGGTAGAAGTGACTTTTTGGGTTATTTTCTGTATTTTAATATAATGCACTCCTTTTTTAGGGTTGCTTACTGTAATATTTATTATCACCTTATACCTATTTAGTTCAATTGCTAATGTTTGCTACAATTTGAGTTTTATATAGAATTTGTTAACTTTGGTTTTATAATTTGTATTAATTGCAGATAAAACAGGATCAAACAAGAGATTCTGAATTGAATTTACAAGAATTATCAACAGATTTCTAAAATATTAAAATATCATATTGTATATGTTTCATATTCATTGCACTTCATAAATATATAATATTTTACCTTATGAAGACATTGTCTTTAAAAAGTTATAAGATATCCCTGTAGTCATTTTCAAAAATCCTTAAATCTTTCATCAATCTCCATGCTCCTGACTACATTGACCAAAACTGTTCTCTACACATTCCACTCACTGGGCTATAATAATAGTAAAATCAATGTCTTAGAAAAATGTATTTCTCCAGCATCTCTTTAATAACCACTGAATAACAACCTGCAGGGAAATAGTTTTCCTACTCTCCACAGGATGTACTGAATCAAAGCATTTTCATTAAAATTAATAGAAAATGACAGAAAGTAGAGAAGAAGAGATGATTCTTTGTTTATTTTACTTATTTTTGCCACATATCATATATTGATAAAGCAATTCTAAGAGGCATATGTGTAATCTAATTCAGTGAGACTGGCTTTTCTTCTTCTTAACCACATGCCCATTTTTACATCTGTAGCAATATTCTCTTTGAATAGCTACCTCAGGTTAATTTGAAGTTCCTATTGATCTTAGTGGCCCAGATACGTTAGAGTGATGATAAAAGCAGACACGCTGAGTTATCAGCGTACCAAATAGGATATGAAAACACAGTCATGCACAGGCATTCATTTCTGACAATGTGTATCGGCAGACACCAAATTTAATATGCACTGACATTTTTAAGACAGAATAACCCAAAATGTGGGGAAAAAAAATAGATTCCGTCTTTTATAAGGTTATATTTATTTAAAATAAAAATGCTTGAAAAAATGTTAGGAAGATGCCTGATAAACTTGATCACATATTAAAACTTTATGTACACTACTGACACATTTCTTACACTTTGTTTTATACTATAGTAGAGTCTCAAGACTCTGAGCAAATATGTAGAGAGAAAAGTACACACACACACAAACACACACACACATAAAATAAATCGATATAAATCCAAGGTATTGAAAAATTCTACAGGGAATTTCTGAAAGAGAGTTAGTTAGCAAAACAGATGAATGAAACTGGCTCATGTTCAACAGGATAAATACCTTGTTTCCTCTTTTTTTTTTTTTTTTTACAACAAATAAGGATAAAAAGATACTCTGTGAAAACTAGAAATTACTTCCAGATAGCAACTTCCTTTCTTCCTTTGCTTTTTTGTGTGTGGGTGGCAGGAGGTGGTTGAGAGGGCTTTTGTCAAGAAACCTCCGCCACCATTCTAAATAAATCCTAACTGAAATCCCTCTCAGGCTTGCATTCCACAAACTTTCAAGTAGCAGACTGGCTTACAGCACTATTATGGAAAAACAGAAAAGCACCGAATTATAACTTTCTAAAGGTTAAATAGCAATAAAATTGTGAAGGCTACTTTATGGGGATAAGCAAGTTTTAAGGTGAAAGGGAAAATTCCGAAGTTACAGATAGTCGTATCTATACTAAAATTACAGGAGAAAACATAGCTTATGAAAGGAGGATAGGATGCTCTTCATTCTTTCAAAGTACGTCAGACAAAAATAAAAAGGATTCCTTCTGAAATGCTCAATTATTTACCCTGGTTTTGCTATGCATCATGGCTTGCTTCTTGAAAGTTTGACAGGCTCATTTCTTGTCCATTCTTTAGCTGTCCTCAAGCAATATCATTATTTTTTTGAGGGTGAAAGTGTCTTATTTTCTCTTTGCTCTACTTCATGATAAAGACGGGAGTTTGCTCTGGTGTTCATTTTCACAGGAATATCATGAACTTTGCTCATGGCTCCCTTTCCCCGCATTGCATTTTATTGGAACCATACCTCAAATTGGTTTTCCTAAACAAAGTTAAGCAGCAATCTTAAACTGAGCATTCATTGAATGCAAAGGTAAAAACTTGAAATCAATAATATTCAAAGTCTGAATAGAAATTCAGATAGTATTGCCAACATTTTTAAAGACAGCATATTTCCCCTCAGAATATCAGTGTATAACACTGTTCATGTGTTGTCACTTAGTATGCCTCGGGTGTAACCAATAAAATATATTGATTAAGGTTTGGGGCTATGTAAATAATCACACAGTTAAATTAACAGATATAACACTTTTTGTTTTTAAGGATGTAACACATTTGGAGAGATCAGGGATACAAGGAACATATCTAAACATAATAAAAACAATATACAACAAGAAGGCAGGCAACATCAGATTAAATGGAGAGAAACTCAAAGTATTCCCAATAAAATAAGAAACAAGACAAGGCCCTTCACTCTCTCCTTACCTACTCAACACAGTTCTTGAAATTTAGGCTAGAATAAGACAACAAAAGGAGATCAAGGGGATGCAAACCAGAAAGGAAGAAATCCAACTCCCATTATTTGCAGAGGATATTATAATATACATAAGTGATCTAAAAATCCCTACTAGGTAACTTCTATATCTGATAAATACCTTCAGTAATGTGGCAGGATACATGATCAACTCAGAAGAAATCAGTAGCCCTTCTTTATACAAACGACCAAAAAGCCGAGAAGACAAAAAGGCAGCCAACTGAATGGAAAAAGATCTTCACCTCTCCACCTTCCCCACACCAGACAAAGTACTGATCTCCAAAATATATAAAGAACTCAAGAAATTAGACATCAAAATTCCAAATAACCCAATTAAAAATGGGGTACAGAACTAAACAGAAAATTCTCAACAGAAGAATCTCAAATGGCCAAAAGACACTTAAGGGAATGTTCAACATCCTTAACCATCAGGAAAATGCAAATCAAAATAACTCTAAGATACCATCTTACACCAGTCAGAATGTCTAAGAACAAAAACACCAATGATAGCTTATGCTGGAAAGAATGTGGCTTAAGGGGAACACTCCTCAATTGTTTGTGGGAATGAAACTTGTACAACCACTTTGGAAATCAGTATGATGTTTTTTTCAGAAATGTTGGAATCAATCTACCTCAGGACCCAACAATACAAGTCTTGGGCATATACCCAAAAGATGCTCAATCATACTACAAGGACATTTGTTCAGCCAAGTTCATAGTAACATTATTTTTAGTAGCCAAAACCTGGAAACAACCTAAATGCCTGTCAATCAAAGAATGGATAAAGAAAATATGGCACATGTACACATTAGAATACTAGTCACTGGAAAAAAAAATGACATCTTGAAATTTGCATACAAATGGACGGCACTAGAAAAAATCAACCTGAGTGGGGTATCCAAGGCCCAGAAAGATGAACATGGTATATACTCACTCATAAGTGGATACTAGCTGTAAAGCAAAGAATATTGAGCCTATAGTTTTTGATCCTAGAGAAGCTAAGTAACAAGGTGCACCCTAAGAAAAACATGCATAGAGTCCACCTGGAAAGGGTAAATAGAGATCACCTGACAAAATTGACAGCATGGGGGTGGGGTGAGTAGGGAAGGTGGAGGGAGAAGGGAAGGGAGGAAGAGCAATTGAGGGATCAGGATAGTCGAGATGGAGGAGGGGCAGACACGAGAGCAAGGGAAAAGATATTTTGATTGAGAGAGCCATTATGAAGCTGAAACCTGGCACTAGGGAAATTCCTAGGAATCCATAATGATGACCATAAGCAATAGAGGAGAGGGTGCCCAAACTGGCTTGCCCTTTAGTCAGATTGACGAATATCTTAAATATCACCATAGAACCTTCATCCAGCAGCCGATGAAAGAGAGGCAGAGACCTGCGTCAGAGCACTGACTGAGCTCTGGAAATCCAGTTAAAGAATTGGAGGAGCGATGGCTGAGGCTCCTCAGTTGGCAGTGGCTGCTGCTGCCTATGGCCCAGGCGGCTGGGAGAAGCGGAGTGTTGGTGAGCGGCAGAGGTGTAATTTGACGCGGTGTGTTATGTGGGGGAGAGAATAAAACTCCAGCAAGATCCGGGCCATGAACGAAAGCAGTGACAGAGGAGCTTGTACCACTGGTCGGTATCCATTCCAGCAGCTGACGCACCATCTTCTGCTCCCACTGTAACCTTAGTGCAGCCGCCCAATGGGCAGACTGTCCAAGTCCATGGAGTTATTCAGGCTGCCCAGCCATCAGTTTCCACAAGTCCAAACAGTTCAGACTTCCTGTAAGGACTTAAGAAGACTTTTCTCCGGAACACAGATTTCAACTATTGCAGAAAGTGAAGATTTCACAGGAGTCCGTGGATAGTGTAACTGATTACCAAAAACGAAGGGAAATTCTTTCAAGGAGGCCTTCCTACAGGAAAATTTTGAATGACTTATCTTCTGTCGCACCAGAGGTGCCAAGGATTGAAGAAGAAAAGCCAGAAGAGGAGACTTCAGTCCCTGCCATCATCACTGTAATGGTGCCAACTCCTATTTACCAGACTAGCAGTGGGCAGTACATTGCCATTACCCAGGGAAGAGCAATACAGCTGGTTAAAAATGGTACTGATGGGGTACAGGGCCTTCAGACATTAACCATGATCAATGCAGCTGCCACTCAGCCAGGTATCACTATTCCACAGTATGCACAGAGCACTGATGGACAGCAGATTCTAGTGCCCAGCAACCAAGTTGTTGTTCAAGCTGCCTCTGGCGATGTGCAGATATACCAGATTCGCACAGCACCCACTAGCATCATTGCCCCTGGACTTGTTATGGCAGACTCTCCAGCACTTCCTACACAGCCTGCCGAAGAAGCAGCATGGAAGAGAGAGGTCCGTCTAATGAAGAACAGGGAAGCAACAAGAGAATGTCGAAGAAAGAAGAAAGAATATGTGAAATGTTTGGAGAACAGAGAGACAGTACTTGAAAACCAAAACAAGACGTTGATTGAGGAGCTAAAAGCACTTAAGGACCTCTACTACCACAAATCAGATTAACCTGGGATTTAAATTTTCTCCTGTTATGGTAGAAAATGGACTGGATTCGCCACAACCAGAAAGACAAAATAAATATTTTCTAAACATTTATTTTTTTCCTACATGCAAAATTGCCTGAAAGCAACTACCGAATTTCATCCATTTCTGCTTTTGCATTAAACTGTGAATGTTCCAGCAACTGCTTCCACTTCTCCCTCAAGAATGTGCTACACCAGGAATCATGACGACTTCTGCTGTCCATCTCCCGCCCTCCTCAAGAAGTAATAATTTGTCTATTTGTAAATTGTTGTGGGAAATGAGGAAAATGAAATCTTGGCTTTTTGGTTTTTAGTGGGTTTTGTTTTGTTTTGTTTCCTTTTGATGATTTCAAGGTTTGTGATGAGGTCCATGATTATCTTAGAGACAGAACTACTCAGTGTCTTGAGCTGGAGTAATGTGTGGGGCATGTGAGAAAAGTAAGTGAGGTGCAATGAAGTGTTGATTGCCAAATTGAGGTTTTTACAGTTTCATTGTGAATTATGTAAAATTGTTCAAAGACATGCCCTCTAAAAACAAATTTTAGTTTGGTGTTGAGTAGACTGTGTTTGTTCTTTTCTTCCATACTAAAAGCTGTCCTTGGTTCTGAGAAGCATTTTGTATTAGCCACAGCTATCCTGTAGGACAGTAGTTACTTCTGAATTCAGTTCTATGTGTTCAATAATTTGAATATATTATAAGAAGTAACCAACTGAAAACAAGGATGGTGCTTGAATTTTGAGTTAAGTTAAAATCCAAGTACAAAGCTTATTTTGGTTAGTACTAAATCTTAATGAACAGATGCTGGCCAGGAAGCCAACTCCTTAGTTATATAAGAATGTTTTAATAACATTCTTAGAGGCCTATAGACTAAACAGAATGTATGAATGAAAGGATGCTTAGGAAGTAAGGTTAGTGGAAGGAAAAGGTGGAAGCCATTGTCCTTGAAGTGGATGCTGGTCTTTTCCTATAAACCCATTGTTCCATGCCACCAGGAGAGAGCAATGTTGTCCTGACTCCTGCTTCATACTGCAGTTCTTCCTCATAATGAGCAAGGAAAAACTGATTAGATTCAACCAACCCTGGAATGAGAACTCCAAAATTGTGACGGAAAATAAATCATTTTACCTTATAAGTTGTTCACTTTAGGTGTTTGGTCTTCATAATAAAAAGCCAACATGACCAACTTAGAGTGCCACTTTTAACTGAGTCATAATGCCATCTTAAAGACTGTTCTTTAAATAAAGAAACGGATAGAAAAGATGGAGGAATGGCCACAAATTAATGAGCATCAAAACTGAAATATGTGTGTTTCTATTCCTAAAGTAGCAACAATACATAAAGTATATCTCACCAATACAATCAATATTTAAGGAATCAAAATCAGAAATAAAACCTCAAAAAATTCTTCAAAAAGATGTGTTTGAAATAATTTTCATGTGTGAGGATATTGCACATTGAAGCAAAGAAACTGTGTTTTAAATAAACAGAATGTTATGAAGTTGTTGGTCCCTATTGTAGTTTGTGTATTAAATATCCCCACAAGCTTTTGTGTTTAATTGCCTCATCCTGAACTGTTGGCACTGTTTTGCAAGGTTTGGGAAGTTTAGTAGGTGAGCCCTCTGTAAAAAATTGGATTCATGTGGTTGGACCATTGACATGTATAGTCCTGCCTGGCTTCCTGTGTCCCTCATCACAGCTTTTAGAATCTCCTGAGTTCAGTGCCTTCCTCATCATCATGGAGAGCACCCATTCAAACCATGAGCTAAATTAATTTCATTTTCCTCACTAATGCATTCCAGATGAATATTTCAACCAAATGACAAGAACAAAATAACTATAGGTATTTGAACTCTTTTGGTCCAGGTAGATGAATTAAATAGATAGTATGTCTAGTGAAAATAATAATCAAAAAGTATTTATTTTAGATTTGCCTTTTGAATCTTAAAATAAATAAATGCTATATTTTAATGGAATATTTGAAGAAAAAGTTTTTGAACCTCTCTTCTTTTAAACCTGCCTCAGATTAGTTAATTTCAGGCATTTTCCTTTGACTTTAGAACCTGTATGTATTTTATTCTTTTAGCTATTTAAGAGAACATAAGAAATATATATTAATGGTGACATCCCAGAATCTATAATAGTGTTTGACCTATTGTAATTACCCAGTGATTATATCAAGAATGATGAACAGATGAACAAAGGAATAACAACACAAATATTAGTAAAAAAATTTGAACTTCAAAAGTGTACAGTTAATTCTGGTAGTCAAAGATCTGTTTTACTATCAACATTCCAAAGATAATGTATTAGCAGGTGTGAGGAAAGAATAATCTTAAAATGATCATTTTTCCCTAAGTATGCCACAGAACTTTCCTCAGAAATTCTATTGCCTTGTACAATCACTTTGTAGAATTTTTGGTATCTTTATTCCCCTTTTCTTAAATTAAAAATTTGTGAACTATTTTGTTATCAACTATTAACAAAATCTCCACTTGGAACTGAGATTTTATTATCTTGGTCATACCTTGTCTCAAAATTTTAACATCAGTTCTTAGAAATCCTTTTGAATTAGATATATATTGCATTTGTATACATTAGTCTTACCCACAGAATATACCATAAAAACTTGTAAGGTGTATTTTATTCAAGATGAAGACACTTAATGTATCATTTGATTACTTTTTAAATTATGATTTATTTTTCAAATCTCTCTTTTCAAGAACTACCAAGAAATACATTGGATCTGGATTACCTCATTCCATATGATGTTTTCTAGATCCATCCATTTGCCTACAAATTTCAAGATGTCATTATTTTTTCTACTGTGTTTTACTCCATTGTGTAAATGTACCACATTTTCCTTATCCGTTCTTCAGGCAGGAGGCATTTACGTTGTTTCCAGGTTCTGGCTACAACAATGCTGCTATGGACATGTGTACTCACTCATAAGTGGCTTTTAGACACAAAGCAAAGAAAACCAGCCTACAAATCACAATTCCAGAGAAACTAGACAACAATGAGAACCCACAGACAGACAGACATGAATCTAATCTACAAGGGAAGTAGTAAAAGACAAGATCTCCTAAGTAAATTGGAAACATGGGGACCATGGGAGAGGATTGAAGGGGAGGGGAAAGGAAGGGAGCAGAGCAGAGAAAATGAATAGTTCAATTAAATCAATAAAACAGTAATATGTTTGATAAAAATGAATAAAAAGACAGATATTGAATAAAAGTTCAAGGTGGACCTTGAAGACTGTATATTAAAACATTACAGGAAAGAAAACATCAGGAGGCATTTTTTCAAAAGTCAATTTCTATTGAGAGATGATTTTAAGCTACAAATTAAGGAATATATTAACTAAAATTTATACAAATGTGAAAGGTAATAAAATCAAAAACAAAGAAAAGAAATGTACTTCCATGTTTTAAACAAACATAGTGCTTATTATATTTTAGTATAACATGATTAATATGTCTTATATTACAGAGTTGTGATTATTATTTATAATGTTCTCCCAAATCAGGAAGAACATTCTGTAGTGCTCACTTAAAGTTTTATTTACTAAGACTGTTAGAAGAGCAGTAGATTGTCTGGGAATATTCCACCAGACCAAATATTACAGGTATGTACCCAGCATTGTAACAGAACACCAGCTGCAACTTCCCTTTCCTGTCCAGATCACCTGTGAATATCACAGGCCACACTTTCTTGACCTCCCTCCTTCTCTGGCACAGCAACCCAATCTACAAAACTAGCAGGCATTCCCGAAGAACATGCTACCCCAGCAGGTCTGGAAAGCAGACTATGCACAGCCATCACACTCTCTGAAAAATCTAGGGAGGAAACATATACTAAGAAACAAAAGTCCAGCCCACAAAGACTAACACAGAAAAGAGCACATGAATCTATAAATAACTCCAAACTCAGATGTGTACATGCCAGCCTAAGAACACAATCAATAACAGTCAGGGTAACATATCACCTCCAGAGCCTAGCTATCTGACCTTAGCAGGCTCTGAATATTCCAACATAATATTCTGAAGCACATGAAAAAGACCCTAAAAGCAGTTAAATGAAGATAATAAAGGTATTTACAGAAGAAATAAATAGATCCCTTACTGAAACCAGGAAAACATAAACAAAAAAAATTGGGTGAAATGAATAAATCCCTAAATGAAAGTCAAGAAAATACAAACAAAAGTTTAATGAAATGAGTAAAACTGTTCAAGAAGAGATAATGGAAATAGAACCAATAATCAAGACATAAACTGAAAGAATTATGAAAATGAAAAACCATAGGAATGTGAACAAGAACTACAGAGACAAACTTCAACAACAGAAGGCAAGATATGGAAGAAAAAATCCCAGACATTGAAGATGCAATAAAAGAAATGAATACATCATTCAAAGAAAATGCGAAATCCAAAAAACTGACACAAAACATCCAGGAAATCTGAGACACTAAGGAAAAATGAGACCTACAGATAATGGGAGTAGAGAAAGAAGAATTCTGGCTAAAAAGCCCAGTAAATATTTTAAACAAAATCATAGAAGAAAAAAATTTAACCTAATAAGTAGTTGTATAGGAATGTACAAAAAGCATATAGAAAATATTCAAAACATTAACTTATTGAACAACAGGAAGATTATAAAAAAGCTTCAAAAGAAAAAGAGTAAGTTAAGTATAAAGTCAGACCTATAAGAATTTTATGAAAAGCTTCAAAAAAAGAGTAAGTTATGTATAAAGTCAGACCTATTAGAATTACACATAACTTTTCAATCAAGTCTCCAAAAATCAAAAGGGCTTGGATATATATGTTTCAAAACTCTAAAAGACTACATAGTTTAGCCCAGATTACTATAGTTGGCAAACCTTTCAATCATTATAAATGGAGAAGATAAGATAATCCAAATAAAGTCAAATTTCAACAATATTTATCTGCAAGGCAAGTCTTACAAGAGGAGCTAGATAGAAAACT